AAGTAGTCTTAGTTGTAAAACTTCTCTACTGTTGTTGAAGATGCCTTAGCTCTTGACTCCTATTCGTTTATGCATAGATAGAAAGACAAAAAAAAAAAAAGCTACAAAGATATCTTGGTGTGCGACAGGTAAGAAAATAGCGTCTAACAGGAAACCGGTGCTTTGCAGAAGACATAACAGTTCTGAACTGGTGAAGCTGAAGATTCCTCTTCCGAAATCCAGAGGAGTTCAGAAGAACTCTAGCATATGTTTATTTCTGACATTGTTCCCTGAAGGACAAGATGTGGGAACTATTGTTACGGTTCTGCTTTCTGATCATTGATAAACCTTACTAGAAAGCAAGCAGTAACAAGCTGCACGGAGGAAAAGGTGAACTTTGCGTCCAAGGAGTAGAAATTTCCAAGGACTAGCTGCTAGCTCCATGGTTCAAACTCTTCAGTATTAAGATATGCTAGTTATTTACAAAAAAAAAAAAGGCTTTTCATTAGAGAATAAATAGACAATTCCTGAATACTTTGGTGTAACTGCAGAGAAGATTCTCCTGGCAGCCTTCTGCAGTTCTTTAGTGCCCTCGGAGAGAAAATTTGCCTTATACATATATATCTGGTCTTTCCTGAAAAATGAAATCCATTCTCCTTAAGGGATACAGAAGCACCAATTGACCACTAGCTGTTTTAAATAATCTTTTATGCCTGGGGAGGTGGGTATTACACTCCTTCAGTCTTTACCATTAATCTGTTATCTTATGTATTTCATTAATTATAGACATTCAATCTTTTCTCATAGTTAGTATGTTCAAAACTTACTAAAATTCTTGTTCCTTTCTTCCAATATGTTTATTTTGTATGTGGTTTCCAAACCAAGATACAATATTGCACAGAGTGCCTTGACACTGCTAAGTAGTACAACAAATGTCCTCTTTAATAAATAATGCCTGACAAGCTGGCAATGGTTCTGCTATGGAGAACAGTAGTTTGACAAGCTGGTGGCCTTCATGCTATGAAGTTCCATCATCATGTTCCTAACAACAGTATTTGTTCAGTCTGTGGATCTTTGCAAAATAAACACACGTATCCACAAGGCAAAACCCCCACAAAACCAAGGAAATAAAACAAAAACCAACCAAAAAAAAAGTCACAACTCAACCTGAAATCCAACGAACTAAAATATTGATTTTTTTCCACACCTTACTGAGTTTGCATCTCGTATATGTTAACCTTGAAATGGGAGAGATAACACGTAAAAATAAATGCATCATGTATGTAAATATTTTTTCATGACCAACAAGTTTTCTCCCCTAGGTTTTCTGTATTTTTATGTACAAACATTAGAAAAACCTCTGAAAAAGTAGAGAGCAAGAACATTTCAGTGGTCATTCACTAGTGATTTTGCAATTAAATCTTGATTTTGTCTTGTGGGATTCAAACTAAAGAAATTATCTTAGAGAAACAAAAGAAAATCCTTGTTATATTTGGAAAAAAATCCCAAGACTTCCAAACTCAAAACTATCACTTCAATAAAACCTGTTTCTTCTTACTTTAACTAATAACTGATTTTTGAATCAAATATGTAGATACTTTTAAAACAATTTTAATGTTTCAGATTGAAAAATGTTTGCAAATATAAAAATAATTTTTTCCTTAATGGCTAACTTTAAAATTGTTACTGCTATAACTGCTTTAGACAGACAAAAAAAAAACCAACAAACTAGGCAGTGCAGCTTTTGGTGTCTTTTTTATACTTCAAAACAATTTTTTTTAATGAGAAGGTGCTACAGCCATTTGCAGATAACAGACAGTCTATTGCTGAAACACTACCTATAAAAATGTCTGGAAAAGTGACATTTGACCCTTTACAAATAGATAAATAGTATATGGAAGTGTGCTTTTTAATTATATATTTTAGTTTTCAATATTTTTTACATGACACGCTTTTGATACTAGCAAAAATGTGCAGCCTTTTTCAATCATAATTTTTAAAGAAAGAAAACATGTAATTACCCGTATTTTGACAGTTTTATCTGTAGAAACAGTCACACACCCTTTCTGATCACTACTGCTTACTGAGATCTTAATGACAAACATGAATTGCTGCACATCTCTACATGCAAAGGGATGCAAGAAAACTTAAAATTCTTTAGAAGATCTAAGCAGAGTTTCCTGCTTGCAGCTGTACAGGAATCATCATTTCACTAGAAACGAAAATTATAGTCTTGCAATGCTTAGATCACTTTCACTGACTTAAAATCTTGTTCTCCTAAGTGACTTAAAAACCTGAGAAAAACAGCAGTATGACTACACTACATGGTGTTCCTAGTGCTAATCACACTTTCTTCAACACCTAACGCAAAACATAGACATTGTTTTAACAAATACCACTTGGCTGACCAAGAAGATAGGATGAAGGAATAAGAGAGTCACGTCCAATTCCTCATGGATTCTCAGCTTGGATCCCGGTTTTTGCACAGTTTACCTTATGAACATGATCCGAGTGACATTTCACGAATTCCTGGATAAATGTTGCTACGCTCTGCCAGCAGAGAGACTGGCTGTGTCATGCACAGATCAATAACAGAACTGTATTTCATAGCCTCAAAATCAAAAGTGCTTCATCTGGCAAAAGCCATGGCCCTTGAGAATCTGGTATATATATAAAATGAAAAATGTACACAGGATGACTACTACAAAAGCTGCTAGTGTAAAGACTAGTCTAGAGCTACACAGTTGAGGACATGTAAATAAGAAAATATTTATTTGTACATATAAAAAAGTTTTTCACTCCTACTTATGAAGAGTATAGCAAATATCATAAACCAGCAGCTGAATAATAAAAGTAAATTTAAACTTTCATGATTCCTGACAAGGAAATAAACACAGGACCATGCAATATTCACAAACTTTGGAGGAATTTACAAGAAAACAAAAGTATGTCTTGAACTGTACTCAAAAATATATGTGATAGTGGTCTGCAGTAGAATACACTCTAAGCTGTAGTAATGCCTTCCTATCAAAATTATGTTCATTGAAAACATGCTTTTATCTTTTTCAGAGTAACTACTCAAAGTAGAAATCTTGAAACCGTAAATCATCATATACTACCTGTAGTTTCAGTCCTCAATATAGACTTCCCTAAAAAAATAATTGAAATTTATGTCTCCGACTGCTTAGTTTTACTTATGATTATCCAACTTTGGTAAAAGAACTTGTAAAATTTATATCTTCAGGTAAGTGCAGCACCTGTAGATTCTTAATTGAAATTACTTTCTATCAGAATGCCTTTCCCTCACTTTTCTGTAGTAAATTTAGTTTTAATTTTTTCTGCCAAAATTTATATTACAAACAATACTTTGAAAAATAAGTATTTTTATTCTTTTGAAGCCAAGCCTTTGACAAAATATCTCAGCTTTAGTCTTTTATCAAGATTTTGACTTAAAAAAAGATTAATCTACCTCTATGCCTCCAACTGAAATTAAAAGCTTTTTCCTTTAAAAATGTCATTACTACCTCACTGAAAACCTGTTTCTTTATGCTCAACCTTACAGGTGGAATATGAAAGAAATATTTTTAAAAGAAAATCATAATTTATCTTTTTCTCTTCTGCATTTTCCTTACCAAGTTACATATTACCTAAATTAATGAGCTTTAGTCTTCTCTCAGCTCTGCAATTAGCAATGTTAAACGGTTGTACAGGGCTAATGTATCCTAAATTCTGTGTACATTACACCACAAAAGCTATTTTTTCTTCCCTGCATATCTTCTGCTCAAGACTACTTCTCTTTAAATGTTCCTGTTGTATATTGTGGAATATGTATTTCCTTTGAGTTACTTCCTTTATTACAGTATCTATTTTCCACACTCCATATGTATATGTCTTGAGTGGTGATATTTTCCTCCCCTGCCTCATAATTTCTCTTCCTTATAACCTGATGTTTGAATGTCATTATAACACTCTTCCTTGTCTAAGGTACATCCTTATAAAACAGCAGTTTGACATATCTTAAATTCATTGTCCATGTTTACATCTCTTTTCCACAGCACTACTAAACCCATTTTGGCACTCATTACAAAAATACTGCTGCCCAGCTGTGCTCTATGAAGTACATGCATTTCTTCCATCAGTTCTTCAGATAAATGAACAGTGTTACTGAAGTTGAGAACATACCTTCCTGTTTATACTTCTCATTAATTCAGCTCATGCCATTAAACACATCTTCTCTCTTCCTGCAATTTTTTTCATGCTTCCTACAGAACAGACATATTTTTTTTATTCCTCTAAGAAAGACTCTGCCCACTGCTAACTACAAGCAGCTAATTTCTCTAATTCTTCCTTTTCATTGTCCAATATCATTGCAGTTCTCTGACTCCAACTGGCAATGATCAATTACAGTCACATAGAAAATACAGATCTCGTATCTGGTATGATTCTATCTTATTTGAGTCCTTGGATATTTTTTCAATCTTCCTTTCCTAGACTGCAGACTCCGTAAGATTTCTTTTTCCTAGATATTTAACTTGAGTTACCTGTTAATCTCCTCTCTGAAAATCACACATTGTTCTCTGGAATGGTATATTTTCAAATGCTTCTCATAAGTCCTGAAATGTTTTTTACTTTCTTTAATTTCTTTCTTGGATTCTGTGTATTAGAACTGCACAGAGTATTCTAGGAGTAGTCAAATCATGCCAAGGAAAAGAAAACATATTCTCTCTGCTCCTATTGTATAGAATCCAGTTTATACATTCAAGGACTGCACTAGTGTTATTCACAACGACAATGGGAGTTCACAGTCAGCTCATTACATACTAGGGCTCTCATTTTTCTTTAGAGTCCTAGTTCCCAGGAGACAGCCATTCAGCCTCACTCAATGTGAACTCGAGCGATGTATTGGTTTTCATTATGATGTAATGATTTCCTCATTAAAAACACCGTGAGGTCATAATGATCTATACTCTTCAATCAGACTCTGGTGGATGATTGAAAGCTTAGACTAGTTGTCAATGACTGAAGATATCCTCTTGCACTGGCTTGGATTTTTCACATTGTCACTAATTTTTAAAAAAATGAGTGAAAGATTTTACCTCTGAAACAAACTGCAAAAAGAATGTCATTTATTTCATAGTATATCCAGATAGAATATATGTGTAAGGTGTAAACTATTATCTTAGGGAAAAAAATAATGTTATCATTCATGTGAAGGATCAACTGAAAAATTAATTTCATGGTATATGAGATTCTGAGCTAGTGAAAATGATGAATTGGTACTTACATGCACCAATTTAACCTTACGGCATGAACTGAGACATTGAGTCTACACTGTGTTCCATGTAGCAGCGCTTAGCTCCAATCCAAATACTAAGTAATACCAAGTATGATGAAAATAATTTTTGGAATTTTATTTCCTATTTACATTTCAATAAGCAGTGACTTGCACAGGGGCACACAACAAAAATGTGTGTATGTGCTTATAAAACTTCTGATACTTTCAGGTCATAGAACCGTTTTTGCAATCCTGTGAACTTGCTCATCCAACTTCTTAGAAAATTCAACTTCTCAAATAAAGAACTGTCTCTTACCAATTCTCCTAGTATATGTATCTATCTTGCTAAACATACTGAGCACTTTCTTCCACCAATCTTACGTTCCATATCTTCACAATCAGGGAAATTTAGGACAGGAATTTAGGACAGGAGCAAAGGAAAGAGAAATAAGGTAAAAGAAGGTAAGAGAATCAACTCATTTAATGTTCACAATATAAAGGAATATAAAATTATCTCCCCAATTTCCTGTGAGTCTTGAAAACTTTTCATAATAACACAATCAAAAATACATTTATCTAGGCGGGAAAGAGATAAAAGAGAGACTGTTAGGTAAGAATTCATCATGAAACAAGTGGAGAGAATTCAAACTTCCAAGGTAGGATATATGGCTGATGGAAACACATGGCAGCTATATCTTGCACGTTGTTGCACAGTCTATCAGAATACTAAAACATAGAATACTAAAAAAAATAAATTTGCAGCTACTTCCTCTATCGTCATTGCTTCCCTGAAAGTTAAAAGCACAAAAGAACTTCTCACTATAGAGTGATCTCGCTATAGAGTGATCTCACTATCTTGCATATCACTATAGAGTGATATGCAAGACTAGAGCCAGTAAAACTTAGTTTTATGACCACAACCAGGATGCCTTGACATTTCATTAAATTCAGTGAAAATAAGCACATGTGTGAAGTGATTAGTAAATCACTTTCATACTTAATAGCAGTAGTTGCTAATAATGCATAGTTCATGGACCACTCTAGTGAACAAGCCTAAGAGTACTAGTCCAGTTGCAAGCAAAACTGGTTTTCTGTGATAATCTATTAGAAAACCAGACTTGCAGAGCTGAAATAAAATCTCTTGGCAACATATGAATAATTATTCCCAAATCAATGAACTTTTTTTGCATGAGATTTAAGGGTGAATAAATATTCTCGGGCAAAACCATATTACCCATAGAACACTTTACATTGTAGAGAAGGTTCAAGAATGCAGTCAAGCTTTACGCTTAACTTTAATTGATGAGCAGATGTCAGTGAATTCAATGAAGACGTTCCTGTGAGCACAAAAGGAAATCCTATTATGATAGTATTTGTTGAGCTTTTGCAGAGCTCAAATTGTATTGTATTCAGGAAATTTTTAGCAAAAAAAATGCAAATTAAGTTCAGTTTTGATTAGTGGGGTTTTTTTCCTAATAATAACATAAGATTCAATGCACAAGGAAAGTTTGGTCAAATCACAGGGAAGGTGAAAAAATAAGCTACAAATTGATAACATAAAAATTACAGGATGATATCTGTCAGGGTTTATTTCAATATATGTAAAAGTATGTTGTATATTCTATATGTATGTTCTATTACTATAATAGACTATCAGATAAACATGTTAGATATGTGTACTACCTCTGTTTGGTATCATTACAAGAACATGCTAATTCTTTTGACACATGTTCTTTCTTCTAATATAGAAAAATACGTTTTAAGATTTCTAAATGATACAGCAATACAAATTGTGCTGATTGTAAGTATATTCTCTGAATTTCATGTAGTCTCCAAAATTTTTGTTTATAACATATTTTTCTAGAATTTACCTATCTCTAAATTATTTCATTTTGACAGGAGCATAAGTCCAGTATAGTTCTAGTTCATACCAACTGTTCTCTCTAATTTATGAATGAGACTCATTTCCTACATGCAATGTGTTTCAAATGTTGTTCATCAATAATGCAACAGGTCTATTGTAATTTTTCTTCAGAGATCAATATAAATGCAAAAGATATTTTGCTTTATTTTTGTTTTGTAATGACAGCACAGTTTCACCACAAATATATTTTACAGAGTAGTTCTGTTAACGAAACTGACTTCAGGATGCTGTAAGCAACGCAGCAAAATATAAAAATAATAAAAAAAAGGTTGGAGTAGAAGTATTTTAAAAGGTCATTTACATTCATGTTTACCTTTAGCAAGTCCTTATTTTATTTCCAAGTCAACTTCAGCAGCAATCAGTGGTCAGAGGAAATATTACACAGAGATTTCTCCATTTAGTAGCCAAACAGAACAAACGTATTTAACTAAGTGATTGTGTTTTATTCTAGGCAGAATTTTGGAGTAGGACTTGAAAGATGTGAATTCTAGTCTCAGAGAGTCACAGAGCATTTTCTTCCTCTGTTTTCAGCCTTTATAAGTGTGACTTCATAGCCTGATTTTTGAGTTATTAGGCTCAGCAAAGCTTTAATAAACCTACAACACAGAAAAACCTATTCTTCTCAATATTTTTGATTCAAGGCCTTCAAAAATTACAAGTAGGGCCCAGAAATAGAACTTAAATTACACAAAACTGAAGTTTGAAGTACATTACAGACAATTTTTCCTGCCTACAGATAATGTCACTGCTCAGGTCTGAAACAACGCGGCAAGCCTTTCTGTCAAGAACACATGGATTGGTGGTGTGTTTTGAGCTTTTAATTATCTACTGTGTCTGCAAACAAGTCTCTTTAAGGCCTGTAAAACATATGCAAGGGTAGCAGCAGTGTTACCTCATAAGCAAAAAACCAGAACTTAAACTCAATCAAATTTTGAGAAGACTTCAGTCTTATGCTGACACGTAGTTTAGTTCAGTTATTAGATAAGCCTCTGCTCATTTAGACTGTATTTGCAAACTCTGGAAAGGGCAGGCAGTATATCCTGCTTTATCATATGTTTATCCCTTCTGGTTTACCTTTCCACTTCTGCTGTATTTTCAGAAAAAGCAGAAGAGAAAATTTGCTGGTTTGATTTTTAAATATTTTTGAGAAACCTTCTTTACATATTTTTGAATATTGTGCTCAAATATTACAGTTACCATAAATTAACCTAAACTACTCTTATTAAAAGCAGTTAGGAACAGATTATCTACATGCTCCTAAAGAAGGGGAGAAAATCATGATTCTCCTGATGGTTTTGGGAATAGACTTTTTCTAAACATCTTCACAGAATTCTTTTATTGTTTCATTAGACTTTGTGCCAAAGGTGGATAGGGGTAAAAATGGTTTTGTATCAAGTTTGGCAAAAGTGTTAAATATGGCGTATATAGGAGTTTTATTTTTAAGATAGATAAAAGTAACAAGTGATTTAAGGGTGGCTTGTAAAAATGGAAAGGGATACTGTTTAACAGAACAGAAACAATTTGAATTCTTTTTAGATTATTTTTTATCTATTAAAATATGAGGTCATTAGAGCATGTCTGTTTTTACTCTTTTTTTATTACTTGTATATATGAACGTAAGAATTCCTGCATATGCTACCGATGTAGAAGAAATTTCTTGCAAAGTTTATTTGTAAAAATTACCGTTTATGATTAACTTAGTCTTCTAAATTTTAATAATTCTAAAATGCTTTATAAAATTTTATCACTCACAAATTCTCTATGTATGATTAGTATTATCTTATGTACAAAACAAGAAATATCTTTTCATGCTATCAGAGGAAGAAAAAACCCAACACTTAATTTAGAAAAGATTACACTAAATGCAGAAGCTCTTTTAACTTAGTAAAAAATGTACAAATGCTCTGGAGTGTTTCCGTGTAAGAGAAGTCAAAAAAATAAAACCAGGACATGTGTAGAAGTGTTTTGGTAGGAAACAACTGGATATGTCTACAAGAATTTCTAACTGGGCAATATCTGTAGAGAAAGCCCACAAAACTGGCCCAAGTAATTACTGCAAGATAATTACAAAGAGCATTCAGCTTATAATTTCATGATTATTCTGAAAATTTACTTAAAGAAATCACAGACATGCAAAAATTATTATGTAAATAACAATACATCTTTAAAGACTGAAAAATCCCTTCAGGAGAACCAGAGTCTAAGTGAAATGTTTGTATAAATAATAGTTAAGTTCAACAATTTACAATGCATCTAGGTTCATCATCAGTTTCTTGTTTGTTTCAGTGTAATTGAATAATAAATTGGCTGATTTACTCATATTTGGGTACCATAAGAGGAGTGAAGCTGTGATGTTGATTTTATAGATGCAACACTGAATTCTGAGCTGTCACTGGATGGGCAAAAAAGACAAAAATAGTCAAGAGAATAGGTAAAGAAAGACACTAACTTTAAAGAATAAAAAGCTTCCTTTTGCGCTTTACTTTTCTGCTTTTCATGCTCATGTTCTACGCTTGAGATAATCTACCAGGTAAACAAACTATGAGCTCAGGGGGAAAAAGTCCCCCTAAAATTCAAAGAAAAGGGAAGTCAAATAGCTAAAATAAAGTTTGGAGGTATATTTGAAGTGCTGTCAGAAAAAAAAGCATAGTCTGAGTTACAGCTAAAATACGCAGTCTTCTAGAAAGCAAAAAGCTCCTTCCCAATTCAGTAAAAATGTAGTGATACATCTGCTGAAACGGAAAAACCCCTTTACTTAAACCTTCACACTACCCTCTCCAAAGGAGAGGATATGCTCCAAACAGCATTTTACCGGTTGACTTGTTCGTATTCTGAGATTCAGGTTTCCTGATGAAGTATTGACAAGCACTTTGCAAATGCCCATGGCATTCCATTAAAAAATGCAGCTTTTCCTGTAACATCACTTGAGAAACACTGGAGAACTGATGCAAATGATCCCATGGTACCTTTAAGCAGTGGACCTGTGAATGGCTTTGACTGGAATAAGGTAAGTACTAGTGACTTAACCTGCTTATGATTTTAATTTCTTATTCAATATACTTTGTCTGGTATTTTGCAGCAAGAATGACACTGCATAAAACTAACTGCAATTACTGTGTTGTATGCAATATAAACATACTTCTTAAAAGCAGTCACTTAATGATAGAAATGGGGGGCAGGGAATAAACTTTAGAAAAAAAATTTCTGGATTTTTCCAACAATTTCTATCAAATCCTTTTCTTAGAAACTAAGAAAATTCTACATACCATTGCTTCTGCATTAAGTAGCTGCTCTAGCTGTTATTTCTAAACACAGAGAGCAAAATCTAACTACTGTACTTCTGTACAGATGGTCCTGACTCAGTGTTAATGTGAATCCTTGGAGAACGTAAACTTTGATTCTCACATATGCAGTCACTTCACAGTCATTTTTTTCAGAAATATGCAAGGAATTGCTTTTGCAGAAATGAAACAAAGACAGAAATCTACATTACTGTAAAGCATTTATGAGGCCAAACAAAACCAGAACTTGAGTCTAGAATTCTGAACTCTTTACAGCAGACAAATATACACAACAAATGTATCTGTGTGGATCTTCAAGAAAAATACACAAAACCATGCATGTACATATATTTTGAAAATCAACAGATGCCAGACAGTCCTTAGGTTGCATGAACTGTAAAATCTGTCTCCAAGTGAACATCTGGAACATTTAAATCTTAAATCTAGAGTCGATATTCTAGATTCCTCAGGGACTATAATGAAGGACTGACTGCACAAACACCTGCCCTTGTCTGCTGAAGGATTTATTTTCTTAGATAAATTAGGCAACATGGCATCTCTTCCAAGCCATGCTGTTAATGTTTACAGTTGCTAGACTGCTATACTTCCCTTAGCCCAGGATCACAACTTCACTAACTTTACTCAGAACATTATAGTTATGGTGGTTTATGGAAGCTTATTTTTGGATATTTGGATATTTTGGCACTCTTGAAGTGTTTGTCTCCCTAAATCCAGATATTGTTTCAACCTTTTATTTTTCATAGTTTGTGTGCTTGTTTATTTAATTTCTGCCTGTGTAAGAAAATTCTAAAATCTAAGTATTAAGAAGAAACAATAAAAATGTTCTTGATAGTGAAATTTATTTTTTTAGAAACTCATTATTTCCTTTGCAGTGTCTTAAAACTTCACTTCCAGAAAGCATTTCTTGCAAAAAACCACACAAATCCCACACACAAATGTGTGCTTCACAACCATTTGGTATGTCTGAATCAGGGTTCTCTCTCTAAAACGTGAGTGTACCCTGCAGTGACTGCATAGGTTCTTTACCTCCTTAATTTTCACTTGGCAAGTAGCCCAAGTCTCTGCTTTAAATTTCCCACTTGGTAGCACTACTATGGCACCTGAAGAGTAATTAGTTGTAAGAAAGGGAATTTTAACTGTTTGCTGAGAAGGAAAAAAATGTGCATGCCTAATAAAGATTTTTTCCTTGAGTATCTGCAATACCATTTATTTATTTTTGCTTAGAATGCACCATCCTTTAAATAGACCAATGTCTATTTTTTCTTTTTTTTAAACCTTCCAGAAAAACTGAGTGAAAGAAAATTGGTTTGGTTTTAAAGCCAAGCTACTTTGATTTTAGTCAGTCTTTTACATTACAGCAGCTCTTATCTTTACACAAATTTTGTCCCCCTGCCTTTTCTGTTTTTTTAAACAGTTTCCTGATAATGGTGTTTTTTATTTTAATTTTCATATTGGTCTTCTATGGACATCTAAGGTGTGGTCTTCTACGGACATCTAAGGTGTAGTCTTCTAGGAAGGCAAAACCTCAAGATGCCTGAGAAATCATAATGTTTTACCTAAATTACATATGTAATTCCCTGTGAAGCTTATACTGTCCATGAAATTTTATATTATAGTACTGTTTGTAAGATAGGCAGATCTTCATTGGTTCCAATGACCTTGGAAACTCTTTTCAGTTCAATTCATTACATATATATAGTTATGCAAAATGAGTAACAGAAATGAGGTTTTCCCTCCTCTAGAAATTAGCAGTTCCCTAGCCCTAAGAAAGAGAAAAGTGCTGCTCCTGATACTGCTTCTGCCTTCTGTGCAAATAAGAAATGCAAAGAAGTTTGAGAGGGAGGGGATTTGATTTCTTTTTTAATGTCTGCCTCCTTCCAGCAAGTCCATCTGTTGTAGCACTATAATTCTGGAAGCAGGATGTGTGTGTGACCAACAGGAGACAATTACTGCATAAGTGTTTGTTGATTCAGCTCTATAAAGGGCAGGCCAATCACTACAGTATGAACAGAAAAGAATTCCAGCTGAGGAGCTGCATATAGATTAACACAAAACACAAATATAAATGAGAATGGGGAAAACCAGAAAGGAGTAATAGCGTGGAAAAGGATTAAGTAGGAACAAAGACTGAAGCAGAGAAGAAAGCTGGCATCTTTGGGCTGTTTAACCCAAGTTTATTAGTCTCTATTTTCATAAATTTTGCTCTCTGGCTTTCCACCTTAACAGAGAAAGATGGGATTAAATAGATATGGAACTGGTCTGAGCTCTCTACTGAAGAAAACTCCAGTTGCCTTGGGGCATAAGGAGACACTGTCTGTTCTTCACAGAGGAATGGGTGCTAGTTCCTGCAGACTGACCAGATTCTCAGCAAAGCAGTTTGCAGACCACAGGCTTAAAGAGAAACTTCCCTCACTCATTTGAATGCACGTAAATGTCACCATGAAGACTACTTTGTTTTCAGAAGGATAAATGAATTGGGTTGATATAATAATAAATCAGGTCTCAGTATCATTTGTACACAATAACTGACTCAGAATCTCACAAAAAGCATTCCAATAGATATTTTTTCATAATTCTGACTATAATAAATTAAACTACAAAAATCAATGTTATCACAGTTTCAGAGAACTGCAACAGAATTAAGCTGAACATCGTGAGACACCATAATAAAAAGTACTTTACCTCTATGGTCAGTTTACTAGTTTGAAGTCTCTGATTAGCCAAATGTAGCTGATTTGTTAGTTTTTCATTGGTTTCTTTCACCTCCTTCACAGAAGCAACTGCAGTATTTTTTTCATTCTTTAAAACAGCTATCTGCTTCTGCAATGACTTAATTCTTTCCTGCAGTAGAGTAACAGAGTAGCCTGGTTTCTGGATGGTGATATTTCTCCTTTTTGCTCTGTTCACTAAACATAAAATGTCATGTTACTAAACTGACAGATCATCATAAGTAACATGATTTCTGATTTTGTTTTGGCCCTTAAAACGCTCTTGAAGTCTCTAAAATATTTTTCAGTAAGTAAACTGGTAAATTAACAGTTGACCTATAAAAACATACAACATATAAAACATATAAAAACAATCAACCTATAAGTGCTCTAAGTTTTACTTTTTCTGAAGTGCCAACACTTCAAACTCAACAAGGACTCGGAAGTTAAATGTGCCTCTGATTGGTATTACCAAAAATAAGGCCTTCAGTGTCTTCACTGTCTTGTTAACAGATGGGTTTTTTTAAGGTCTAAGCCAAAAAACATTAATTTGTTTCATTAGCTGTGTTGGCTACAAGGGCCAAACATGAACAATAAGTAATGAAAAGCCTCGTATCAGTCAGTAGATTCAATTGCTGAGACTTAGTAAAAACAGAGTACATATTAACTATGTGAAAAGATGCTGTTTGACGGTCACTTATAGGACAATTTCACTTCAAAATAATGAGCTAAATATTTGAAAGTACACACACAAATTTAAACAAGCAAATTTTTTAACAGCATTCAGTGGGTTTGTGTAATATAGCAGAGGTTTTGGTAGGTAGGAATGCTTCGTCGGTCTTATTTACGAAGTTGCCAAAAATATATAATATTTCTACCTTTGCTTAGAATCGATGGATGTGATGTTACAAGATAGCAGATCTTCCTCCTCTTGGAATGTAACTTTTCTAGGTCTTTATTCTGTGAATGGCACTAAATAAAAAAGAGAAGCACAAAGTGAGCAACTCTTCATTATGGCACACCAAACACAACACTGTAAATTTTTCCAGTTTGAACCGAAACAACAAAAATTACTTCAAATAATATACAAATTCTAGTGAATTCTGATCTGAAAATCAGTCTTACAATATCAGCCAGTGAAGAGTACTTTTCCATCAAATGTAAAAGAATTAATGAACTGTTGTAGGTAAGTCATAGCCTTTTCCGAAGAATCCCAGAGAAAAATTAAGTATCCATTAATGTATCCATTACTTTTTCAGATAAGATCTGAATTTATTAGTAGGGAAGAAAGATGGTCTGTATTATTTGAAAGTCTACAGTATCTTATTTTTCAAGATATTTAAGTGAAACTAAAAGGAGCAGTGGTCTCATTAGTTCAAAAGGAGGAAGACCAGATTAGACACTGAGCTGTAACTAGAAGATGCATGAAACTATGTGAACATGCAAAATAAAATCACTGTGTTTGATCAGGGTTTAACAGAAGTCTGCTGTATGCCTTTTAAATATGTGATTTGAAAAATCAGCAGTTTCCAGAACCTATGCAATGTCCAATGACAGAAGAAGAGACTGAAGAAGAATGTTGCTTGCCATACGTAGAATGAAAATGGCCAGAGCATGGCTTACTCTAAAACGAAAGTACTACTTCGCTGAGTGTATTTTTAAACACCTTTGTTCTGGAATTCTGCAATATTTATCCAATTTTTAAAGTCTTCAGATTGTAATACTTATGTGGTACCATGCAATATATTTCTGGAAATATTAATAGCTAAAATAGCTGTTAATAAAATTTAAAAGAGCAAAGAGCAACGTTCACTACTAACTGCACTGAACAGATTACTGACATTGCAGGATAGCTTAGCCATGAATTCCAGATTTGTACAATCACCACATAATTTGAAGGACCAAGAATTGAGGTCTCAGCAGATGATGAGCAAACGATCCATGCCTGCAGCAAAAAGATGGAGATCTCCACTCTAGGCCACAGCTCTAATAAATGTATGAGTTGTAAGAGAGTGCCAATAACTTTGATGAAACTGCACAGAGTATTATATATTTATACTATGCGGGGCAAAATTGATGAAAGTCATTGTGTCATAACTGATCTCATTTTTAACCCCTGTCATAGCTCAGGACTTTGGAGATTCCTCTAGCCTTTCTTTGTATGAGAATGCCATGACACAGCTGGAGGGTCCTTAAATCCCCTGGATGGATTTAAGAATTCTACTAAAATCAGTTAGGGTTCCCAACTGTCAACACTAAACCTTTATGCAATACTATCTTCTGTCCTCACAAACCATGTTTTCAAATGCTTTTCCTGCAACATGGGAGCAGTTCTGCTGAAGCGTATTTAACTATTTAGGGCTCTCCAGATGCTTTCTGTGTATGCTCCAATTCCACCAGTCTGTTAAATATGAGTATCAGGATATATCTGTGCTTGTCTCTTCCAGTAGGAACAGAGAATAAATGCAATACAGGCCTACAGAAGAGGTAGTGGCTGAGCAAGAGAGAACAGAGCCTCCTGGATTGCCTGCCTTGTATGTCCTCACCCAAGAGCAGCAGGAGATAACAAGAGCAGCACACTCCGTCAGATTTTCATGTATATCATGTGCACCTACTCATACTATGTATTCTATACCAACAGACGGTTGCATAAGAATTTTCCTTTTTTTTCATTTTTTTCTGACCCAAAAGGTTTTGATGGAATAACATGATCAAGAATATGTAAGAAGACCAGGGAGTTTGTATTTGCTTTAAAATTCTGGAGACTAAGAAAATATACATTTTTTTTATTATATGATCATATAAAACTGAATTTCAAACTAATTATCTTAAAGCAGTGTTTTCAGTGTTTCAGTATTCTGTTTCTTGAACTAAGAAATAAAAATATCTGCTTGTGTTTTAAATTCCATGAACTGATTTATTTGGGCAAAGACAGGAGAGAAAAAGTACTAGACGCTGTTCAAAAGTCCAAGAATGAGTCATCTGTTACAGATTGTATGGAGCCTCTGAAGACCTGGGAAACAACCAGCTGGCTCTCTTCCGTGAGAAAACAGCACATAGATGTTAACAATGAGACAATCAGTTCAAATCCCAGACAATGAACTTAAATAGGCTAAGAAGGTGGTAAAAGTATACTTTCTCAAGATGAAATCTCCTGGACACAGGAGCATCTTTCTAAGATGTAGACAACTCGTCCAGTACACACCAAACAAACTGAGAGATGTTTATACTTGGTTAGTCAGCACACAGTTTGGTTAGATGGGAGGGAGGGATGTTGCTGTTTCCCTGTTATGGGCTAGGTCAGCCTGTTCTGTATGGCATATCTGATTGGAAGAAAGTTTAATGGGATGTCTGTGGCATTCTTTGTCTGGCCTGTGAGACAGCAGCACTAGTTTACAGCAGCTTAACATTTTTTAATCAGCTTTTGTAATCCTGACACCCTCTCCAAATACTTTTGGAGACTAATCATTCAGAAAATATTCTAAATGATAATGAATCTATCCACTGAATATCTGGAAGCAGATTTTATTTTCCCTTTACAACAAGAGTCAAATTAATTATGAGTAGAACAGCAGTGCTAATATTAAACTTCAACACTCCACACGGGAGAACAAAGCAAGTTCTATTATATACCTTTTGATTATATTGCTCGTTTTTGCCTTCTAAATGAACAGTGTTGCAGGACTTTTTTTCTTGTTGTTTACTTCTGTCTGGCAGTGGATCAATGTTTTGCACTGTCTTCATAATCACTGTTTCCAAACTTTCAGAATTTGGTATCTCAGAGTCACTAAAACAGCATGTTCAGGAAAACACAATCACGACAAATACTAAAAGTTCCAAAGAGCCAATGCTTAGGCACACAGAAATTAACACATGTAAGAAAGAATAGAACTAATATAAAATCCAAACACTACTAAGGTGACTTATTTAATAGATTTTACAAATAAATAAAGAAGAAATCTATCACCAAAATGGTCTTAAAAAGTTCTACTCTGTGAAAAGGAATCTCACTCTACAATGCAGAGAAGTCTGAGACTTAGCTGCTTCTTAAAGGACAGTTTTTGTTACAATCTACAAAAGTGACATACATGAAAAGATACTTGACAGTATTTCAAGTCTGTGAATGGTTCATGAAGTACTAAATTTCTACTTTCCTTCATTTTCACATTTTATAACAAAACAAGTAAATGTATAATACTTTACAATATTTTGCTTCAATTGAAATTCATCTGGGGTGCTGGCTGAGACAAAATCAAAAATCACACTTCAGTGAAATCTCTATTTAGCACCCTTTTGGAGTGCTTTTAAATTCTGTAAACTTGGTAATCCTTTCACTGAGATTGCCTCCCATGCAGAGAAACTAGACCTGAAACTAATTATTTTTCAAATTTTTCCTTAAAATTGCACTAACTGTGCTCTTAATTGACAGTTTTTCACTGCCTTGCCTCAGATTACTATTTGCTTTCTTATATTCAGTGAAGACTATCCTAAAACTTGAAGTCTTGGATGTATAATTTTCTATAGCATCAGTGGCTATTTATCATTATTTGTGTGAGCAGATTTGTGAAGGAATCCCTTGACAGAAGGCTATTTTGATTTGTTACTCTTTAAATCAAGACATTTAAAATGGCAAAACTGAGTTCAAATTAAGTTGCACCATCATAAAAATCTATGGTTTAGAGATGGAGGCTACTTAACCAGAGAAAAGGCCTCAAATTGAAGAGTTCACACAGAAAAATGTTTATACTTTTCAAAACTTGTCCTGACACATTAGTATGTCTTATTGACTGATAAGAAAAGAAATCAATGTAATGGTTTAAAGGTGTTGCAGTAGCACTGAGACATTTCTAACTACATACACATTTCCTGCACCTGAATGCTTTCAAGGAATATTCTATTTAGAAAATGGAAACTTGAATTTAGAAACTCAGAGGCAGGTATTATTGATAAAGAACAGTATTTACTAATAAGTAGAAGAGGGAACTAAATGAAGATACTTTCCTAACTTGTTGAGACTGACATCTTGAAACCTCACTCTCAAAAATGTTCACTATTCTATTACAAGAATTCCCTAAGCCAGCATTTGTACAATAATCAAAAATAGTATTTATGGCTAGCTATGAAATGATGCAATTATTTTCATAAGCTATGCAATTATTTTCCACTTCAACCTCAAAGTGCGATGACAGTGTGCTCGCTCAATTTTGCTCTTAAAGAGAACACAGTAAATGAAACAAAAAGCTCACTAACTGCAAACGTGCATCCACATTTGCATATGTGCAAACATGAATGTTTTCTGTTGAAATCAGATCTACAATATTACAGAAATAAGCTTAACATTAATGATATCAATTGACAAATTACATGGTTCTTAATTTGTTAACTTGCTCAAAATACTGTGTCCAGAAACCACTTATTTTGCACAGGGAGAAGCAGCAGAAGGGCTTAATTTGCCACTATTGATTTGCTGTATAACCCATAAAGCCAACAAGAAGCCTATGAATGATTCCATTTTCTTTATTCTTTTGCCACCCTTCCTGCATTTTGGATAATACAGGGTTGAGAAATTTCTTCGCTTGTCTGTTAGGACAAAGTCCTGAAAGACAAGGTGTGATAATCATTTGCCTAGTGGCCTATTGCTGCCTCCTCAAGTATGTAGGGACAAATGGAGGAAGCAAAACTTCCAAATGTTTATTTAGCTTGCCAGTGCAATTTTCTGAGAGCTTTGTGACTCCTGACTGGGACTGTATGTGGTAACAATTACCCTTAAAGAACTGATTTTTAACCATCGTTCAATTAAAGTTAGTACAATGACTGTGCATAAAACATACATGAAATAATTAGTGTGGATGGTTCTTAATTTAAAGGATGTTAAACAGCTTGTAGACATCTGCTAGCAAGCTGAAATGGGTCATTCAAAATTTATCTAACTAAATTAAGGGGAAAAAATGTTTCTCCTCCCGGGTCGGCATGTCACAAGATAACTAAACCGACTTAGTTGGCTTGCCTGGGAATCCTTAGCTGTCAGTGGTGAATATGCAAAGGGCCAGCAAATTAAATCAACCTGCCAAACTGTCAATTTCAAGCCTCATGACTGCATGAAAATAGCATCACTGGAAGAAATCAAGCATTGCCTTCTTTTGGGTTTCCTGGCACCTATTCAAATACTCATGCAGTTGTGGTTAATTTCACATGCAAATTTCAGTCAATAAGCTCAGAACAAGACCTCCCAAGATATTTCAAAGGATCTGACAGTATTTTTTTTGAATACCAAATCAACAGTAGTTGAAATTCAATCTCCATTTGCTAGTGCTTTACATATGCACAGTGTCCCCTCTACAGGGCTAAGTTAATGAGAATCGTACCTGCTTTCATTCACATCCTCCCAGCCGTCCTTACTGAACTTCTCAAATACATTACTCATAACCTTGATGGACTGTTTGAGAAAAGCTCCATGATGTCCCAAAGAGCTCTTTTCCTTGGCTGTTTTTAATTTAACCTTGGTGCCTGTTATCTTGCAATTACATTGCCCGGAGGTTGTCACTGCTTTGGCTTTATCCGGCAAGCATTTCGGCTCTTGCACTTGACTCAGCAAATCTTCACTTTCATTTCTCAACCTGTTAGCTTCTGCCACTTGCCTCTTCAAAGAGGCAGCTTCTTTTTCCTTCTCATCAGTCACTAACTGAAGTTCTGATTTTTCTTTTTTTATTTCACAAGTCCTCTTAAGTAGCATTTCCAGCTCTCTTTCTCTTGTGTCTGCATCTTCCTTTTGTACTTTTAAAGATTCTTTCAAATAAATTTTCTGATTCAATAAGCATTTATTTACTTCTTTCTGTTTCCTTAATTCCCCTTCAATAGCATTTAATCTTCTTTCTAGTTGTTGCATCTAACAAAAGCAATTCACAATTTAGCATTCACAATATTTCAGCCCACCGAGTAAAAAAAATAATTATGTTCTCAAATATATTTTTATATGACAATAATATCACATGAAGCACAAGGACAAAAACAATCTATAGTCCTTAAATTAAAAATAATTCTAATGTAGTGCAGATGAAAACATTTTAGCTGCAATAATACAGCTGTTGAACAAAGGGCAGATGGTAAAAGAAGTTAAAATTTGAGGCAAAGTGACACAGAAGTTTAGGTATGCTAATAAATCTCCCTGATGCATCTTGAGCTCATTACTGATTTGGTTATACATACTAATTGAATTTAAAAAAACATTTTCAGAAGGATTACTACTTTGAAATACAATTTTGCGCTAGCTATGTAAATCAACAAGTTCTTTTAAGTGTCGTAAATACACACATAAAATATTAATTTTATCTTTCAAAAAACCCCAAACAAATCCTAGCAAGAGATATCAGAAACTCAGCACCTAAAACCATGAAAGCTAATATGTTTTTCTATTCACTGAAAGGAAAAATCTATCCTGTTTTAATTAAGATACTTTAACTTTACAAGTTGCTCATATAAATTCTGAAGAAGCGTTCTACCTATATATGATATATATGCTTTGTTTGTAAAGTCCTTTGAGGTTTACACATATTCAAGGTCATTAAAAATAAACTGATTCTCTATGATGTTCTGGAATATTTACATAAAGCAGCAACTAAATCTCTCAATTTCCAGCAAAAAGGGTCAATTTTAATTTTAGCAGATGTTAAAATGAATATTTAGTCTGTGAGATTTCCCCAGAAGTGTGAAGATGGCAGCAGAGTAAGTTTTGTGCTCAATAACCACTTACTCCAGTATTTTGAAGAAACACTTTTTTAGTTAGCTTTGTACAAGCTGCATTCCCACTCTTTCCCTAGAGGAAGTGTCAGGGGCTCTAGATTTCTCTGGATATGGTTAGGAAAGACTATATTTCAAGAATGCACAAGGCTAACTTGAACTTATCACCTTGTAAAATACCGGCCAGTTCCTTCACTTTGTAGCAAGACAACATGTCAAAACTACCTTTGACACTGAAAATACTGAAACCATATTATTTGTCAATGAATGCTACATGTTTTTACAAGGACATTTTGCCAATGTATTTGAATTATTTTAAAATTTATGGAATCTATTATGAAATGGGTACCACAGATGTGATTCAGATAAATGAGAGGTCTTAATGTACAGGGTAGATTTGGACAAGAGCTGCTCAAACTTCCTACACATTTGTGAATTTGATACTGAATTTCTGCCTTTGACAGCAAATCTTTAATATGAATGCCTATGCATTGCTAGTTTTCATTATGGAAATTCACAGCACTCCCACAGTGAAGAGACATTGCCTTATGGCTACATAAAGTAAATTGGTGAAATCAGAAATAAAAGGGATTTTTTCAAATGCTTCAATGAAACTAAGGTTTATGATAAAAATTGCAGTTTGCACTTTCCTCCCCAGTGACAAGGTGTTAGACAAATACCTTTCTTCAATCACCTTCCTAAACTGATTTTCTGCTATTATTTTCTCAGTTCTTTAAAGCAACCTTTTGCACTCAGTAGTACTTAAAGTCATGTATGACAGCTGGAAGGAAACAAACAATGAAAAGCTTCTACACCTCTCCCCAAGGTACCATCATAACTCTGTACATCCATAGAGATAAAAATTATGTAGTACCTGGCAAACAAAATTATAGTTCTGAAATATAGATGATAAGCAAGCATAAACTGTGTGACATTTCAGATGGTAGCATTCATATTATTTCAATTACTCACTCTACCTTAAGATAAATGAATGTGAGCACTTCCTATTCTGTGTGTTATTATTTTAACATGATGTTTGTCATTCAGTAATAACGAGATGACAGCCTTCATTGCCCGACCATATGGCAAGTGTTACAAATATATGCAATCACATCATCTGCTGTAAATTACCATACTCCCTACAAGTTAATTCACAAATAAAAAATAAATAGACATACCTGAACTGACGTTCAAAGATATAGATTAGTTTTTATTCAATTTAGGCATGCTTTCAAAGATTTATAAGTAATTAAACAAATAGTTTTGCAAAATGACAAACAAAAGGCACAATATTGTTTAAAGGATGCCTTTTCTTTGCAAGCAAACAAAACATATGGTAAAATACAAGTGAGCCCTCTGAAGTGAACACCTGTTAACATACTAAACTACTTGTGTGTGTTACAATGATCAGTACAAATAGCAACTAGTTAAGAGCATCTTGTTACTGTAGGAGGCAAAACATGTAGAATGTTGATCAATAAAGATAAAATACCTATCATATTTGCTAAGCTAAAGAACACTACATGCTATCTTGTGAAAAGAGTGATAGACTCAAATATGTAGAAAATATTTTCATATGCAATATAGTGCTAAAATTTAAATATAATAAAAGGTAGATTTATCACTATTATGCATCAATTCTATTCTGCAGCAAGAGCTCTGTGGAGATTAACACCTGATATCATGTAAAGTTAAACAGTCAGCAAAAGAAATTAAGGTTCCTGAACTTTCAGTGGCAAAATGCTAAGCATGTGTTACTTCCAATTTAGATAATTTGCTATTTTTTAACATTATACCTCTAAACATTCTTTTCATTTTCTCTGACATTAGCCATGTTTATCTTAATGATAAATGATAGCTACTTCCCTAGAATTAATTTCTGCATGCAATCCTGTAAATCCACATTTTTAAATTAGGAAAGAAAACCATTGCTTAAATTTATGATCACTGACAGATATATATATGTGTGTGTGTGTGTACATATAGAGAGATAGATATAGGATTCTTATACCAAAATTTAGGTCTGTTTGCTGGGGTTGGTATCTCACCTTCTGTAACATCTGAGGTGAAACTTCTCTCATATTCCTCACCACAGTATTATTTTTGACCCCATCATCTTCACGAAGTTTAAAAAGTGGCTCTGTCAGAAAATAAATAACAAATCTCTATCATTGAATAAATAAAATACATTGTGGCATTGAATACGTCACTAAAACAATCCCTAGACATTTTAAGGAAATGCATTATTTACTTCCACAATGATTTATAATGTGGTCTATTTTCTTGACAAGCCTTTTGGTCACTTTCTGAAGAGTGACCTCTCTTCAATTATTATTGGAGAATCTCTGTAGCATCACAGTATGTTTTTTCAGAGTACAAGCTTTTCAAAGGTACAATAGATCTGCAGGTTAAAGACACTACACTTTCATTCCAATTTTTAGTCTTTTATAGACTATTCCTTCTATGCCTTAAAAGCAGAATTCCTTGCCTTTTTATCTACAGTCACTACCAGTTTTGTTCTCTAGGTCTTGTCCCCTGCTAGGAGGATCAGAGTGATTGGTGAACAAAGCAAACAGTAACTGAATTAGGATGGATGAAAACTTTAAACCCTGGTTTTTGTTAAGTTAAAGATCATGTACTTCACCAGATGAATCATACAAATCATTCCACTGAAATACTGGGAAATCATAACAATTAGAAATTGACACAAGTAATGAGAGTAAACATGAATCTAAGCATCAGTGTCAGAGACAGCTATACACTTCAGGTACTAAAAATCCCAAGTTAAAAATTAGATCTATTGAGAAAGAGGAATGCTAAGAAAATGTTTACAAGCACTAAGACATACAGTCAATCAGAAGTAAACCACATTCTGTTTAGATTTTAATCAAGAGCTTAGCACTCACAAATTGCCCACTGCTCACAGAAATGTCCAATTACACACTACAGAAGGTTTTCATCTTAGAATATGAAATACTACATTAAAGAACAAAAGAATCCCAACACTCTAAAAACACCACAATATTCATATTTCTTTTCTAGTCCTTCTTTCCTCCAAATTAACTTAAAAAATTAATCTTAAGGGATAAATATCTGTGCTACATGGTGAAGGTCTGCTTTAGAAGTAATATTTCAAACTACAAGCAGACACTGTAGGTCACTTAAAAACTTTTGATTTATAAACAAAGAAAGCGTAGAAGAAAACAGTGTTACTCTCTGTAGATTCACAACCCTCTTGATATAAACAGTGACTAACAAGTTTGTTAGAGTGAATTAGACCTTTCTTTTGTCTTTGGAACGTGTCATGGCCAATTAATACTTCTGTAATCATGAAATAAATGGAACACTATTCTAAAGATAATAAAAGCTGAAAAAGGTAAAACTATGCATCTGGGGAATATGTACCTTTACCTTGATATTAATATGCTAGTTCCCATGTTACTTCAGACTACAGTCCCCCAGCACAGTGGTACTGCATACATTTAGAACATTCTTTAAGTAACACACAAAGATAATATGAACATGCTTTTCATCTTTTTCTAAATATTCACTCATTTGAATGTCTGTTGTAGCTTTTATATCAGCATTTACTGCACTCCACTGAAAAGAAAAATTATTTCCCATAGTCAAAGAAACTGATCAAAGCACACAAGGTGTTATGTTTATTATGTGGATGTATTAAAATGCAATTTAAAACTCTATAAATAAACATATTATATGCAGATAATAAAGAATACTGCTGCAAAATAGATAGAAAAGACTATACTTGTTCAGTATTATCACAGAAGACACAAGGAATGTAAATAAAAGTAAAGCCAAAGGTCACTGATACATAACCCTTTCTACTGAGCAGAAAATAAATGGCCCATTCTAGCCCCTTCTCCTCTCCTCCCTTCTAATTGTTATGTAAGTGTTCATTGGAATTGGTTAGGGAGGCAATGAAAAAGCATCACTTGTAACTAACTGTCTGTCTGTGATAGCAGAAAGATACATCATATCAGTCTACTCAGCAAGACGTGCTCTACCTGTCATACTGCTACATAAAAAAATACCAACTTCTCCCTCAAGGAATAGACCCACAAGTCATAAACCCCACTATCTTCAGTCATCAAATTACCATGGTCTTACAGAAGCACACTTATGTCCCACTGAGAAAACATAGCTAACTGTCAGCTTCAGAACATAACACTTAATTCCTAATTAATAGTCACCAAATCTGATGATAAGTTAGTTCAACACTGCTGCCAAAATGGTACTTGAACTATGATACCACAGTTCACTATTAGTATTTGTAGAAAGTCTTCTCACACAAAGAAAAAAATACCAGTTTTAAGAAATATTATAGAGCTGTGTAATAGTCACTCACTATATAAACCATATAGAACCTATATAAACCATCGAAAGAATGATTTTTTTTCTGTAGTACACACCAGTTGAAGGATTTCCCTGACAGACAGAAGGTGCTATGGTGCACAAAGTCACTGTGTTACTGACTCCGGCTACCCATGGTACTGGGTGGCAAAAACCAGGTGGTGGATAATACCACTGTGAAGACCAGAAGGGAATGGCATTCTCACATATAAGCTGTAAGTTATAAGTAGAGTTAGGAGTCTCATAATGAAAGAAGTCTTCAAATTGCCTCCTTGAAGAAATAGCGGACCAACAGTTTACTGTCTTTTAAGAAGGCATTTGTTATTTTTCTGAATAAGATTTGATGGATCCACTATCCTGCTTTTGGAGGAAATGACTTGACTACCTGGCAACACCTTCTTTACCTTAATATACAAATAATGACATGAATAGCATGAATAGTAAATTTGGATTTGATGACTACTAGACAATAACTGGACAACAAAGTAAGAATGGAAAGAAATTGGGAAGTGCAGGAACAGTTTCCTTTTGCCCTGACTCCCTTCATCTTTGACCACCACGGTTTGAAAAATTATATTGGAAGAACAACAAAGCTATCCAGTACTTCTTCCTGACAAACAAAACTGATATCAAATAAGACAATATGCACTATTTTAACACAGGAAAGCTCTGTCTCTTTTACAGAATTTATCCCTCGATATTAGAATGCCTGATGAAAACAGATATCTGCTAAGGTGAAAGCGAATTCCAACAACATTGATAAACTAAGGAAATTCATGAGCAGCTATTTTTTTACACTCCCATTGGTAAAAGTTTGGAAATGGCTGGAATCATCTCAGTCCTATGTGCTAAAAAGGTTTTGCTTAATACGAATCTTTGGACTGGAATCTTATCAGAAGTTTCCTGTCCATTTAAATGATAGCTAAAGCAACACATGATGGAAAAGGTAAATAAAATTTGCCTAACACGCTTCAGTACTAGTTTAAGCCTTTTTCTCAGTCCCAACAAAAGAACAGTTAATCTTCATACCAATAACCAAACCAGAACTGTGCCTCCTTCCACAAGCTTTTAAAAGAGGATATTTTTATCTGAAAGATAATGAAAAAAGAAGGAATAAAAGACTAATTGTTAAAGCACTAAACATGTCAAGAATTGGCAGGTTTAGAGATTTCACTAGTTTTTGGAAAAGCACGGATATTGCTCAGCAGGCCCTCAACTCCTTCTCACCACTAGTTGTCTTACCCTTTCTTTCTGCACAAAGATTGACTAAACTGGAAAAAAATGAAGCAGCAATTTTTAAAGTCAGTATTTAAAACCTTCACTAATTCCCTTCAGCTCTGTCTGTGGCTATGAAGGTAACATATGAGAAGTAGTATGAAAGAAAACAGTAACTTTCAGTTTTCAGCAGCTTGATATTTCCACTTAGTTTTAGAGATAAAATTTTAAAATAAAGGAAAAAAAGATTTTATTTTTTCATGCAAGTGATCAACATTATCACAAGAAAATAGAAAACAGAAAACAGCCACCAGCAGAAAACTATGATAAAGAATGGTAAGGTTTTATTTCTAAGAACATGTAGAGTACTTCACCAAGTCTCCTACTTTCCTTTGCACAACACTGTGCATAAAGAATTCACCAGAGAAGCAACATACAGGAAAATGTAACTCGAATATTTCTCCTAGATGATTCAGAAACAGCTAACAATACAAAGAATCAGAGGAGTGATGGAGAGGCAACAGTAATATTATCTATCCGACTGACAAAGACTCATCTTCATAGAACCATTAACTACTGTAAAGATTGTAAAGATTTAAAAGAAGATATTGAGGTTCAATACTTTGATGAAATTCTTACACAAATTTCACCATTTTGGTTTACTTTCAAATTCACATACTTTATCAGACTAGTTTTAAAATAGAATTCTGAATTAGCACCAAATTTCTATATCACTGTATCTCAACATGGGGTTCCCTGGTGGTCTAGTGGTTAGGATGCGGCGCTCTCACCGCCGCTGCCTGGGTTTGATTCCCGGTCAGGGAACTCCTCCAGGCAGATGGAGCTCGTCAGCCCTGTAAGGCCATCCATCTAAGAGAAGGTCACTCTAAACAAACCTACATCCTGAGACCCTCACTGCCACTGTCCAAGCTCACTCGGCCCCGGCAGATGAACCTCAGGATTAAAGAGTGGGCTCAGTTCAGCGCACGCTGTGTCTCACCTAAAAAATCCACTGCACAGGCTCGAAGGGTTAATGACCTTTCCCAAATCTTCGTTCACAAAGACTGGCCATGATGATGATGATGATGATGATATCTCAACATGCAAAAACCATTTCAGATTCTGGAGAGAACTTCATAAGCATATAAACATATTCTAGACTTTACATATACATATTGATATACAACTCATGTATATTTTGCTATATTTTCTCTCCCCTGTTTAGTTGCAAAGCGGCTTTGGTGGGTGCCAGGGTCAACCCACTACAACTACATACACACACATAAAATACTATACCTTCCCTTTTTTGTTGTAAAAATAGTTAAGATCCTGTATTGTGAACTTACCCACAGATTGGTGTATTTTCATTTGATGCAATTCTTCTTCAAGATTCAGTCTACAAAAAAGGAAATAAGAAAATAAGAACCACAGAACAATCACATATGCCACCAAATCACAAGATGCCACTAAAATCATTCAAAAAATTAAACCAAAACTACATCAATACATTACTGGAAAAAAAGTTGTCAGCACTCAGGAATTAGTTCTATTTGATAAAACTTAGCATACTTCATATATAAGGAGTCATTTGTACAACAGCTTTTTAAAATTTACAAATCATCTGAACTTCCAAAATTCAGATACAACGTTGATCGTATCATACACTAAGAAGTTTCAGCTGATGTTTTTAGGTAAGAAAATGCCTGAGATGAAAAAAAGACCAGTAGGAGGCAGAATCCTGTTAAGTGGGAATAAGCACTCTGTCCCAGAGGGAACCACCAGCCAAACTTGAGCAGATATATTGTAGCAGTTAGCAATTCTTTGAGAAACTTATTAACAAAATCTTTCCTCCCTTTCTCCAGCCCTGATCTACCAGTATATTACTACCATAGTCTATTCTGTAATATCAACCAGCAGAACAAAATACCTGAATTGATCTTTTTCAATTTATTAAAATTACAAACAAATAAAGTCGCCAGGATACCAGTGCTGAAGTCTCAAAGTCAAACTGGGAAATGCTAGAATGAAAGACATGAATTTAAACTGTTCATTTACACTTGTGTTTTCTGACACAATCTCTAACTATATAATTGCACACTATTTCAGCAATAAAATCCCCACCCATTTTAGCCAAGGATCCTACAGCACACAGAACAGTGCACAGTCATTTAATTTGCACCTTTCACTTAAAACATAAACACATATCATATACAAATACATATAATTCTAGCTCTGTTGTAAAAGTTGGACTGCTAGTTTTCTCACAGTTATTTTCTGCTGTACTCTGAACAGCAGTACCTTTTTCACAGGAAATTTATGCTTTACCCTACTTTGCCCTCTGAGATAAGGCATAAAAAAATTTGGCCAAACTATCTTAAGGAAAGGTCTAAAGAAAAAGTTCTTCCAGTATACACAGTATGTTACAGCACATTATACATCATATGCATTTCAGACTCAGCTGTACAACATGAATTACAACGAAAATTATAAACGTAAAAGGTTGAAGTAACTTGCTTTGCATGACACTTAAGAATCCAGCTGGTTTTTCAGAATCACTCAGCTGCCTTCATTGGCTGACTTTCTGTGATCTTCTTTCATCCTCCAATACTCAGTCAGTTATCATCAATTTCTATTATACAGACTACAGTGGTCTTTGTTTCCACACTGTCCTAACTCCTTACAGTGTGTTAACTTCTTGCACTGAATGGCAAAATATTTCCTTGAAAAAACATTGTTTACATAATTAAAGACTGAATCCAACATATCTGCTTCCTGCTTGAACCTCTATCTTCTGAACAAGTTAGTTTTCAACTTCAAAAACATTATTTGAATGAAAATGTTTATGAACATATATAATGCCTCTCTATACACTAACTGACAAGCACACAATGATGATTGTACAAGATTTTTAAGAGCAAACTTTTCATAAAGATTTTTCTTTAGGCTGATGAAACGCATGAAGAAGTGACTAAATCATACGAAATAAGTAAAGGGGTACGTTTCTAGTCTGAATATCTGAAGTGCCTCCAAAAAAATTAATATGTCTGTGAAATAGTCTCCAACTTATGTTATGATACATTTAAGCTGGAAAAATTACAGTTAAGTCTGGACAAGAAATTACAATATACAATACAAGATCCAACCCACACAAGTCAATGACTGGCTTGCATGAACGTTAGAAATGCTCAACTGGGTTAGCCCAGTGCCAGGTCCATCTATCACTAGTGCTCTGTTTCCAGCAGAGGCAAAAGCAGATGCTACTCAGGAAAGAGAGCAAGCCTAACAGTTTCCGCAGTTTGATTCCAATTTTCCACCCTAGAAGTGGCATGTAAACACTATGCTTTGTTTCTTCTGCTTTAACTGGTTCCCTGTTGCTAAAAGGACCTTTCCTCCAATCTCACACCAATGGAATTTTTTTTTTCTAACCTTTAATGTGGAGCCTTTTCAAAGGCAACTGAAAAATACAGATCAGATTACTATTACCACATTGTTACTATCACTCTTCCATAATTCCAGCAAGTTAATGAAGCAGGATTTCCCTTTAAAGGAGTCACAGTAATGCTTCCCCAACAAAACTGTGCTGATCTATGCTTAGTGTTCTTTCTCTCTGGTGGTTTTTTTGGGGTTGTTGGTTGGTCGGTTTTTTTAACCCCTCTTCAAGCACCATTTTTTCCTAAAGACTGACTGCCACCTTCCAAAGTATGGAAGCAGTCAGGCTCACTGGTCAGCAGCTCCCTCTGGAGCCCACTCTATAGATGGGAGTTACAATGGCAAACTGCCAGTGCACTGGCACAGTGGCTGTTACAGTTCAGTAACTTCATACTTTCACATCCCTTGGGTGTGAACACGCTTCAGTTTCTTCACACCTCGGCGCAGGAAGAATATTAGCATCAAGATATTAACAACTAATCAACTTGACCTCATAATTGCTTCAAATATGTCTAACAGCTTTGATCTATCTGTTACAAAGAATACACGACTTGTTGGCATCTTCTAAGCATCATTAGCAGTGAATCATACACTCATAGAATAGTTTAGGTTGGAAGGAATCCTAAAGATCATCTAGTAGCAAAGACTGACCGAGCAAAAGATTGTTCTTTTATTGTCTTGTAAACCCAGCATATCATTTTACACTGTTATCATTAAGCAAACCTGTAAATTTCCTTACTGTTCTTTTACACCTATTATAAGCAAAATTTTACTGTAACAGCTTAAGCACATTTGAAAAACAATCTTCAAGAACCTGTTTAAGCTTCTCAACTTCTCACATGCATCTGCCCTGCTACTTTTTATTAGCCCTACTTTTTCGTAGCAACACAAGTTTAAGTATTAAATGCTGACCTTTTCTCTGTGAGGGCCATAAAAACTTCCCCATTGAGTCTCTAGATAGAGCTACTTAAGACTATTTTGGGACACAGGTTGGTTTGGGGTTATTTGGATTGGTTATTTGGGTTGGTTTGAGGTTACTATCAGTGCTGGTCACTTTTAAACATTATCTCCTAAGGGCAAAGGAGCAACAATTCTCAAATGTTGGAAGTCAAGCAGGCAAAGCACAAGGCTGCCTTGGCTGAACAGAAATCTTTGCTTGGAATTAAGGCAAAAAAGGAAGCTGTATGCCCAGTGGAAGCAAGGTCAAGTCACATGGGAAGAATTCAGAGATGCTGCTTGTCACAATAGGGAAAAAACTCATGAAGTCAAAGCTCAACTGGAGTTGCAGCTGGCCAGAAATGTGGGGGACTATAAAAATTGTTTTTTCAAATATATTAATGTCAATAGGGAGCATAGAAATATCATTGGCCTGTTACAGGATGAGGATGGTCATCTCACAAACAGGGACAGACACAAGGTAGAGGTGTTCAATGCTTTCATTGCTTTGTCTTCAACACTGATGATGGACCAAGGGTGTCTCAGTGCCCTGAGCTGGAGGACTGTGACTGCGAGAATGATCAGCTCCTAGTCGACCCTGAAACTGTGTGAAATCTGCTGCTCCAGCTGGATCCCTAGAAATCTATGGGGCCTGATGGAATTCATCACAGAATCTTCAAAGAGTTAGCTGATATTATTGCAAAATGTTACTCGATTTTTGAGCAGTCTTGGGAACCCAGAGAGGCCCCAGCTGACTGGAAGCTGGTGAATGTTGTCCCAGTTTTTAAGAAGGGCAAGAAGGAGTACCTCAGAAACTACGGACCTGTCAGACTCACTTTAAGTGCATGGTAAAGTTGTGGAGAAGAATATTCTGGGAAGTATTGAAAAACAGCTGAAAGACAACATAGTCATTGGTCAGAGACAGCACAGCCTCATGAGAGGAAAGTCTCGCTTATCCAACTTGATTTCCTTTTATGACGAGGTAACCCACACAGTTGATCAAGGGAAGCCAGCTGATGTAATCTTTTGGGATTTCAGTAAAGCTTTTGATACTGTCTCTCACAGGATCCTTCTGGACAAATTGTCCAGCACACAGCTGGATAAACACATCATGCAGTGGGTGAGCAATTAGCTCACAGGTTGAGCACAGAGGGTAACAGTGAATGGGGTGACATCAGCCTGGTGACCTGTCACCAGTGGGGTTCCACAGGGCTCCATCTTGGGCCCTGTGCTCTTCAACATCTTTGTAAATGACTTGGACGCAGGACTGGAAGGGATACTAAGCAAGTTTGCAGATGATACAAAACTGGGAGGAGCTGTTGACTTCCTCAAAGGCAGGGAGTCCCCGCAGAGAGACCTTGACAAATTAGAGGACTAGGCAATCACCAACCAGATGAATTTCAACAAAAGAAAGTGCCAAATTTTGCACCTGGGATAGGGCAACCCAGGATGTTCATACAGACTGGGGAATGAGATGCTGGAAAGCAGTGCCATGGAAAGGGACCTGGGGATCCTGGTCGATGGCAAGTTGAATTTGAGTCAGCAGTGCCCTGGCAGCCAGGAGGGCCAACCATGTCCGGGGGGGCATCAGGCAAAGTATCACCAGCTGGCCAAGGGAGGGGATTGTCCCGCTCTGCTCTGCACTGGTGTGGCCTCACCTTGAATACTGTGTGCAGTTTAGGGCACTGCAATATAGGAAAGATATTGAGCTGTTAGATAGTGTCCAAAGGAGGGCAACAAAGATGATGAAGGGCCTTGAGGTGAAGCCATTTGAGGAGCAGCTGAGATCACTTGGTCTGTTCAGCCTGGAGAGGAAGACACTGAGGGGAGACCTCACTGCAGTCACAATTTCCCGTGAGGGGAAGAGGAGAGGCCTCTGTGGTGACCAGTGACAGGACTGAGGGAATGGCCTGAAGTTCTGTCAGGGGAGGTTTAGGTTAAATATTAGAAAGAGATTCTTCACCCAGAGGGTGGCTGGGCACTGGAACAGGCTTCCCGGGGAAGTGGTCACAACACTATGCCTGACAGAAT